TTTTTATTTTTTTCTAAGGCAAGGTTCTGCTACATAGGCTTAGGCTGGCTTCTGAACTGAAGATCCTTTTATATTAGCTTCCAGTTGTAGGCTACCATTTCTGCTCTCATTTTTTAAAAAAATATGAATTGACTTTGAGCATTTCTATTTTAAGTGTCTTATAGCAATGCAATCCAAGAGTTTGTTACATAAAAGGTAAGTTTACTACAGTTGTATTTGATTTCTTATTATGCTTTAATCCCTTATCACCTTTTCTATGAATTATCCTCTTGTTGCTGCATTTCCCCTTTTCTAATTTCTGTGGGAATACTTGTTTATGTGTGTGAATTATGTAATGGTTAGAGGATGCCCTTGGGTGTCAGACCTGCTAGTCACTGGCTTTTACATTGGTTCTGGGAATTTGAATTCAAGCCTTCGCAGTTGTACAGCAAGCTCTTGTATCCATAGAACCATCTTCTCAGCCTAGCAGGAATATTTTAAAATTATCTTATTAAAATCAGAACAGTCACTGAAGAAATTTCCTCTTACTTTTAGTGAAATCAAAATCAATCCATGTGTGACCCAGTACTACCTGCTGACCTGGAGAATCTTGGAGACAGGATGCCGACAGCTTAGAAGTCCATCTTTAGATGAGCTTGCAAAATTGGTGGGATCTGTAAAGTGACTACCAGACAACCCTGAACTTTATTATAGTCCTATACTAAATGATATTTTAATGGATTACTTTTTAAGGTGCATGCAGACTGAATAATCCTCATAATTTTGTTTTTTTTGCCACAATGTAAAATGTAAAATTACATTGTGTATGTCAACTATATTTCCTATTTCTTTCTTCATCCAGCTGATGGTTCCTTACCTCGTCTGTCGGAAACAGTGGTGCAGCCAACATGGCCATGCAGCTATGTCTGTTCTCAGATTTAGGATACTTAGGTATGTACCCAAGAGTGGCACAGCTAGAGTGCATGATGGTTCAACTTCTATTTATTTATTTGAGGAACTTCCATGCTGACTTTCATAATGGGTACACCAGTAAATATTCCCAGCATCAACAGTAAGAGTTCCTCTTTTCCCAATTCTTACTAGCATGCTGTGGTTGTCTTCTTGATACTAGCTATTATGAACAGGGTGAGATGGATGGGACTATCAGTACAGTTTTGATTTGCAGTTCCCTAATTTTGGCTGAGAATGGTGGCTTTTAAAAATGTTTATTAGTCTTTGGAATTTATATTGGGAATCGTCTGTGCAGTTCATTTGGTCACTTTTTCTTTTTTTTTTTTTTTTTTTTTTTTGAGACAAGGCTTCTCCGTGTAGCCTAGGTTGTCCTGGAACTCATTCTGTAGAACAGGCTGGCCTTGACTTTACAGAGGTCCACCTGCCTCTGCCTGGGATTAAGGTGTGTGTCACCATGCCCAGCTGTTCTTCCTTTCTTACTATGATAAACTTTCTTACTTCAGGCACTTTGAACCAAAATAACCTCTGAAACTGGGAGCCAAAACAAATTTCTCTTTCATTTTCATTGGTGTTTTCCCATAGCATTCGGCAACTATGCTGGCTAGTTTTATGTCAAGTTGACAAAAGCTAGAGTCATTGGAGAGGAGGAAGCCTCAATTGAGAAAATGTTTCTATAAGATCAGAATGTAGGTAAACCTGTAGGGCATTTTCTTAACTAGTGATTGATATGGGAGATGCCAGCCCATTGTGGATGGTGCCATTTCTGGGCTGGTGGTCTTGGATTATATCAGAAGCAGATGGAGCAAGCCATGCGGAGCAAGGCAGTGAGCAACACCCCTCCTTGGCCTCTGCATCAGTTCCTGTCCTATGTTCTTGCCCTGACTTTCCTTTGATGATTAACAAACCATAGCCATATAAACCCTTTCCTCCCCATGCTTTGGTCACAGTGTTTCATTACAGCAAGAGTAACCATAACTAGCACAAACTGTAACACAATGGTCATGACCTTTTTAGTGTGTTATAGAATTCAGTTGGCCTAGCAGTTTATTAGGAATTGGTCTGCAATTTTTTTTTGTTGTATCCTTATTTTTTTTTAATGTTAAAAAATAAGAGCAATACTGGCTTCAAGCAGGGGTTTAGTAACACTTTTCTATTTTATTTGAGGATCATTGCTTTTAGTCCCCTACAGCACTGCCTTTGCTGCAGAGCCAAGATTCTGATAAGCTGCTTTCCTTTTCATTCTCCTGTAGGAGCTTTATAATTCCCCTCCCAGTGTCTTCACCATCATTTAGGAGCATATTTGCTTGATCTCTGTACATTTGGACAGTTTCTAAACTTTTTGATACTAGTTTTTTGTTTCATGCCACTGGGATCTGATGCATTATTTTGATTTCTTCGTATTTATTGACTCTTGCATTAAGACCTAAAATGTAATCTACTTTGGAGAAAGTTCCCATAGTCTCCTGAGAAGAATCTGTGTTCCACAGGTGTTGGATAGAATAATTCCTACATGTCAATTTGAGTTATGGTGCAGTTTAACAATCCAGTTTCTCTGTTGAGTTTTTGGTCTATAGTATCTGTTGGGTTAAAGTGAGGCTAACTATCTCTCCTATTACTGTATCTAGACCTTTCTGACCCTTAATATCCAGAAGCATATGATTTACAGAGCAGGGTGTACTAATGTCCAGGGTGTATATACTACAGTCACTGCACATTCTTGATGATGTTTTTCCCTTTATAAAGTTGTAATAACCTTATTTATCTCGTCTAATTTCAGATTGAAGTCTGTTTTTTATGAGTGTATGTGTTCAGGCGGGTATGGGCATGCAGGTTCGAGTATATGCCAGAGAGGGATGTATGGTATCTTCCATAATTGTTCTCTTGGTTTTTCTGTAGCAGTCTCTCTCTTACTAGGCTGGTTGGCCATTGGGCCCCCAGGATCCTCCCTTACCCACCTAGGATTACAGGTGTATGCTGCTTTTATCTGGGTGTTGAGCATCAGGTGTTTATGCTGGGGCAGCATTTTAACAGCTAACCTACCTCTCCAGCCCTTTCGGCTATCAGCACAGCTACTTGTGCTTGTTCCCAGCTTCTACTTAGTACACTTACTTCCATCTTTTCACTTTCAATCTGTTTTCTTCCTATGGATAATGAAGAGTTTGTTCTTGGTTGTTAGTCAAGAACCTCAGAGCACAGAGGATACAAGTGCCAATGTGCTGTTCTCCTCAGAGAAGTGGTGTTGATGGTATAATGGACTCATAAAGCCAGAGGGGCCCTTGAGGACCTGCAAGGATTCGTAAGCCTTCCCTGCAGGATGGAAGGTTGTGGTGAGCAGAGATATCTGCCTTCATTGCTTATCATTTCATGGCTTATCATTCTTATAAAAACTGAAAAATGTGTTTTCTTACATGGAGGGAATTATCTGGAGACTCTTAAAAGCTCTAAGAAAAATGACAGTGGGGCTAATTTGTAGCAACTGAAGCTACAACAAATGTTTTCAGTGTCTGAAAAACATTTTGAGATGGCCCTGGAGCAGAGCCATCAGGGCTGGGCCTTATGATGGAGCTTCCTTTGCTTGACACTACAGCCTCATGAACTTCCGTAACATCCTTAGGCTCTGAAAACAACTGCCAACATTGGGTCTTTCACATTTTCTCAGGTCATGTGAGTTAATCTGCTGTATCACAATATCACAGATCAATATTAGTGCAGTGAGGACCATCTGATTGTCATGACTGCTTTTTGTGATAGCAAAGTATAGCCTAGACTTTCCAAAATTATAACATGTACACATGAACATATATCCATATACAGAAGGTAAACAGTTATCAAATCTTGCTTAAAATTTTGCAAGAGCAAACAAGGTCACAGACACTCCATTTCTTCTCTGAGATAAATGAGTCTCTTATGGGACCAGGAAGTGAGAGGTTATGGTCCCTCAGTCTTGTGACTAAAGAAGGCAACATTAGAAAATTAGTTAGTAATTGAGTAACCATCTTTTTCTTGAAAGGCTGTCTGTTTTCATTCACATCCTAAATGGGAAGAACAAAGAGCTAAGCTAAACGTGCCAATGATACTTTTATAGGAAATGATGACAGCATAGTGTGACTATGAAAAGTTGATGCTTTTCTTTCTTGAGATAGGGTCTTGCTATGGTGTCCAGGCTGCCCTAACATTCCACACTCAAGCAATCTTTCTACCTCAGTTTCCTAAGTGTTGGGACTATAGACATGCACCACCATGCCAGTCTGAGGAGTTTATCTTAGTGAACTGAGGCTGGCATGTTGGAATCCCAGTGTTACCATAAATAAACACAGAATATTAACAAACCTAAAAATAATGAAAATTAAGTTGGAAAAGATATTGTTTGCAACAAATATAAAATTTCCAGTGCCTACTATGTGTGTGTGTGTGTTTTTTAAATAATTTCTTTAATTCCCAAGCCAGCAGTGACATCCATATCCCACATAAGGAAAAGCATCCCAAAGCACCTACTCATGGTAGCTAGACCTGCCATGCTAAAGCAGGCATAAGAAAGGTTCCCCATTCAGGGCTGGCTACTTCTAACACCTGCTAGTCCTTTTTGTACAATTGGAGACATAGTAAACTGTTCAATGGGTACTCCCACCCCAACCCCACCAAGTAACCATAAAAAATTGAGAGTGATGTTAAACAAGCACAGACAGGAGCTGTCTATTTCTCTAATGTGATGATCTCACAAGGCCCAGCCAGTGACTGGAAGATGTCAGTGCCATCTCCATTTTCACTGACTGCTACAGGTATAACTGGGGCCTTTTAGAGTTGTAAAACTCAAGTTTGTCTTATTTTACCAGAAGATGGTACCTGACTTAAACAAATAGCAACACAATGGTCAAACCAAAGCTGACTTGAATGTCAGAATTTCATGCAGTGAGCTTAGAGGCCACTGACTTGAGCAAACAGCTCTAACAACGAAGTATGCTGCAGTTGCATGACCTGCAGCTTTACTAGTCTGGAATGCTCACTCACACAGACCATGTGTGTATGGAGAGCTAGTGATACACACCCACCTTTTCCTCAAAGAACTTTCTTCTTAAATTGGCATCCGTAGGAGGGATTATTTTTCTCAGATTTTTGTACCACTTTCTAACGATGTATCCTCTCCAATAGGCTTGGATTCTAAAACATAGATACAGAAATAATGACCACCTAATAGCTTTCTTTTTAAAATTAAAACTATTTTATTATGAATACGAATGTCTTGCTTGCATGTATCTCTATACCACTTGTGTGCCTGGTGCCCATGGAGATCACAGAGGGCATCCAATTCCCTGGAAACAGAGTTACAGATAGTTATAAGCCACATCATGTATGTGCTGGGACTTGAACCTGGGTCTTCTAGAAGAACATTTGGTGCTCTTAACCACTGGGCTATCTCTCCATAATGGCCTCTCTGACTCTTTCTTGTTCTCCCTCGGCCCCTCTCTCTTCTTCCCCCCCCCCATTTCTCTCTGTCTCTAATAAACCTCTTTGTATCAGACCTTTGCACAGTATATAATTTATATATTATTATATTGGTGCTGAGACTTGGTGGGCTCTTCTGGCAGTGTCTGTCTGGGCATACTAGAATCCCTTCTGCCTGCCACTCTCACAACAGATTTTCTTTCTCTCCTGGTAACACAAACTGGGACTGCCTCTGTGCTCCACCGCTCACTCCACCTTGGCCCCACCCAGTGGAGTGGCACTGCCTCAGGCACCACCTCAGGTGCACAGAGGGTTTTTAAATGGAGAGGAGGACCTCCCCTATCAGTGGACTTGGAGAGGGGCATGCATGCAGAAAGGGGGGAGGGTGGGACCGGGAGGGGAGGAGGGAGGGCTTATGGGGGGTACAAAATGAATAAAGTGTAATTAATAAAAGTTAAAAATTGCACCACTGCTGCACAGCTGTGCCAGTTTTAGTCAATTCATTACTAGTTAAAACTACCAACTACTAGGCCTCTTATTTAGAGAGGCAAACAGGTTTGCCCTACCCACAGACTTCATGTTAAAATATAAATAGGTCTCAGATATAACTTTTACCCTTCCTTTAGCTAAAGGATGGTGACTGCTCACAACAATTTCACCCATTTCTCATGGTAAATAATTGGATAGATGGCCTAAAGATACAGAAGTTTAAGTTATGAGGACCTAAGAAAATGTCTGAGGCTCTAAAAAGATGTTTCAAGGTTGGTAAATGCAAGTTATAAATGTTGGAGGGTCTAAAAAGATGATTTAAGGTATCTAAAATAGAAAAAGATAAAAATGCTTTAGATTTCTTCCTTCTGCTATGTTACTGTTGTATTAAGACTGTTTAGAGCTTTGACATTAATCACTGGAATTTATTAATCTAACTGATAAAAACATCCCACTATACAATCTATATATGCATTGTGCCAAGCTCAAGATTTTAAATTTCCTTTGGTTTGTCTTTTAAGTATAAACTTAAAAGTTGTTCCTCATTATGTTAGATTTATATACATCCAGTCTTCTGAATAGAGGGAATGAGCCTCTCTTTCATGGTGTATAATCATACTAAAAATCAAGATCAAATGAACTTTTGCCCCCTTTACTTCATTCAGGAAGGATTCTGCCTTCCCTGAGCTCACCTCAAAGAATGTTCATGATTTTTTTTTAAAGATTTATTTATTTATTATGTATACAGTGTTCTGCCTGCAGGCCAGAAGAAGGAACCAAATCTCATTACAGATGGTTGTGAACCACCATGTGGGTGCTGGGAATTGAACTCAGGACCTCTGGAAGAAGAGTCAGTGCTCTTAACCTCTGAGCCATCTCTCCAGCCCGAATGTTCATGATTTTAACCCAATGTTATTTTCTAAGCTTTGGCTAGTCTATGACACAAAAATGTATGTCTGCCTTTTTCTACAGTATGTATCTCACCACAGATTACAATGATAATGCTAACATGTCAAAAATACTAACATGTCTGAAGTTTGTCTCCCTTTGTAAACTTAAAAAGGATTCTTGTAAGCTACAGGAAATCCATCTGAATTTACCTCTCTGGTCAAATGAACTCCAGTTGCCAGTGTCCTGCCAGGCCCAAGCATTTCCTACACCAACAATAGTGCCAAACAACTCCCTAGAGGTGCTCCAGTCTAACCTCACAGACTGCATCAGGCTAGACCTGCATTTTCTTACCTAGCCACAGATGATCTCACAGATCCTGAACTGCAAATAAGACAAACTGCTCTTGGGGCTTCACCAATATTCCAGCCTTCGCTCCCAAATCAATGTCCCAATGTCAGCCAGGAGCAGCCAAAGACCGGTTGATCTCTTTGACGCGTTATCCATTTCTTTTCAACAAAATGCTGGTATGCTAGGTCTCTGCCTGCTGCTGGGCATGGTCAGCAAACCTCACCTTCTCCCGTGCACTTTCCAGGGCAGAGGCTTCCCCTTCTCACCATGTAACCTGGACATTTTTATTCTCTTGCTTTTTTTCTCTCTTTCTCTACCCTTTTCTAAATTTGCTATTTTTTAAATTTAATTTTTACTTTTTATATTAATTACAATTTATTCACTTTGTATTCCAGCTGTAGCCCCCTTTCTCATTCCCTCTCAATCCCACCCTTTTCCCTCCCTCATCTCCTCCCATGCCCCTCTCCAAGTCCACTGATAGGGGAGGTCCTTCTCCCCTTCCATCTGACCTTAGCCTATCAGGTTTCATCAGAACTGGCTAAATTTGCAATTTTTAAGTAAACAAAAAGGGAGGACTGTTATGTTGGTGTGCAGGCAATTCAACTGGCCTTCCCTCAGGGGCCTTTGGGGTCCTGACAATGTCCTATGTCATCACCTGCATCAGGGGCAAGGGATGTAACCTGCCCGCTCCCCCTTCTTGTGCTCCCATGGACAGCCCCCCTCTAACTTTCTTTACTGGGACCTCCACCCATTCCCCCTTTCCTATGCTCTCCCACTGTCTCTCTCTGTCTCTAATAAACCTCTTTGTATCAGAAAAAAAGTATTTCAGTATTCCTCCTAGCCTGGGCTATTCTGGTCACCCTTTGGGTTAGTAATCACAGCCTGGGCTGCGAGCATCTGTCTTCCCTCTGCATGGCGCTGAGGCCCCTCTTACCTGGTGGCACACTTTACTCTGAACAGGCGGGCCCCATCATGTATCACTCTGGTTTGATACTGGTTCTTTCTACAGAGGGGACAGGTTTTTTTATTTGTGAACTTTTCAAAAGCCTGAAGGCATGCCTGAAGAAAAGGATTTCACTTAAAACTTTACAAGTAATTACTTATAAACAACACTTTTACTTCTAATGTAATTACAGTGTTCTTCTCATAATTGAGACTCAGTCTAATTTGGATCATGAAGTGCAGTTTCATCAGATGTTAACATCTTCCTCATGAAACCTGTTAAAAAGTGATTTTCCACAAGAACATACATGCAGAGACTTCAGAAACCTCTGAAAGTCAAGTGGTGTAAAGGCAAAATGTGTAAGACTGCCATACAAATGCCGGCAGGAAGGAAGCTATTGGCAGCTCTGATGGGCGGCAGTAACACAAAAACCTGTGGTGCTGTCACACAAACTCATGATTTTCACAACAGGATGAGCTGCAGTGTACCATAAAGCCACGTTTCTAACTACATGAGGCTCATGGATCAACACATGGCTCTTTAAATGGGTGAGGGAAGGAGGCCAGGCCTGGGGTGGGATTACTTACCTTGTGGAATACATGTGAGCAGGAAAGCAGCACCTGTCCACCAGGAGAGAGCAGGAGCCCTAGGTTAGTAATGCAGCCTCTAGAAGAGCAAGCTGCATACCTGCAGGTAACACTCACACAGCTGACCATGTCCTTACTTCCACAGCTTTAAGTTTAATATAGCATAAGCATATCACCTAAACAAAGCCAGTGACCCCAATACCACAAAGCACATCATGCCTGATATTGATAATAAGCTCAAGAAAGGAGTGCCAAGAGAGACATTGCTAGGTGGATGGGGTGGGACAGGGAGGAACCTGTCCGTGTGGTATGGACGTGGTAAGAGACAGCAGAGACATGATAAGCAAACATCTTTTATAGGACTTTGCTTAGCTAAATTACATGCTAAACTTAAGATCACAGCTTACTGTGACATAATTCTGAGAATCTTACATTTAAATAGCAAGACATTATGAAGACAAATTACATTTTCCTTTTGAAATGAAGAGCAGGTGTGTTCCTAAGAAAACTTTGCCCTTCTGACTTAAAATTTCCCAACCAACAGTAATGTTTTGGCATGGAAAAACAAAACGAAACAAAAACAACAACAACAACAAAAAAAAAAACGAAACAAGGTGGCTGGAGAGATGGCTCAGTGGTTAAGAGCACCGTCTGCTCTTCCAAAGGACCCGGGTTCAATTCCCAGCACCCACATGACAGCTCACAACTGTCTATAACTCCAGTTCCAAGGGATCTGACACCTTCATACTAATGCACATAAAATTAAATAAGTTATAAAAAAAAATCCGAAACAAAACCTAGCTTCCATCCAATAAGGAAGAAGGATTTTCGGCCATTGGCCACTGGCAGGTACAATGGGCTGTAGAGAAGGTGAGTGGGCAGAGGCATGTCCTCCCCTATTTTCAGTGACTGTCCTGTTGCTTTGCTCATTCTGCAACTTTAAGTGGGACTGTGAGAAGAAATTTTAAAATAGAGCTATCAACTCCTAAAACCTTTCCTTTAAAAGAATATTTATGTGTATGGGTATTTTGCTTGCATGTTTGTTGGTATACTGCATCCATATAATGCCCAAAAGGGCCAGAGAGGGCATCTTATCCCCTGAACTGCAGTTACAGGTGGTTGTAAGCACCACGTGGGTACTAGGAACTGATCCCTAGTCCCCTGGAAGAGGAGCCAGTGCTCTTAATTTCTTAGCCATGTCTTTAGCCTCCTAAAACCTTTTCTGGACCCTGCCAACTGAAAGCTTAAACTCAATAAACTAGTGTAGTAAAATCATCTGTGGACTCGTTATTAATTTTTAATATAATTTTCAAACTATTTTATCAACAGATATAGTTTTCTCTGAATAACATAATTATTTTATAATTCTAACATATAATGTACTTTGAAATGTCCATTTATATTCATTTCAGGCAAACAATTAATGGTGATGGTTACACAAGTGAAGGACTAAACTCCTTTTACATTTTGCCATAACTTCCGAGTTGGCATATTGTGAATCACTTGAGTTCTGTTCTCACTTTAGATTGCAGAGATATGAGATTACTTGAAAGTATCTTGAAGTTATTCTATGTTTGAATTTTTTTTTTTTTTTACTTTTGTGTTTGAGTATTTTGCCTGCATGTATGTTATGTACCATTTGCATGCCTAGTGAGCATGGAGGTCTGAAGAGGGCATAGGATCGCCTCCTCAAACTAGAGTCGTAAGCCACCATGTGTAAGTACTCTTAACCACTGAGTGATCTCCCTTTCTCAGGAAAACGGTTTTTAACTAATCTAATGTGGGAATACTAAACGCAAAATTAACACAACCATTCTAGCAACCTTTTTTTTTTCTTTTCTTCTTTTTTTGAGGTTTCTCTGTGTAGCCCTGGCTGTCCTGGAACTCACTCTATAGAGCAGGCTGGCCTTGAACTCACAGAGATCTGCCTACTTCTGCCTGCTAAGTGCTGGGATTAAAGGCATGTGCCACCATTGCTAACGCTAGTATCTTTAAGCAAACATAATGACAAAGTTTACTGAAATGTTATATAAACACTGAGATAGCTAAGTTTTCATTCTTCTTACAACTAGGTTAAATGAATGTACATTATAATGGATGAGGTTGCTGAGGATGGAAGATTCCCTGAAGCTTTAATGATCCTTCTACACTCCAGTACTAAAAATTACAAACTCTCCTACATAGGACAGTTCTGTGGTTCAAGGGCTGACTGAAATCTTTCCAATATCCACCTCCTACATAAGATTTGGTCCTACTGAAGAACAAGAATGAAAGTGTACTTCAAGCATCTTCATAATTCACATTACTGAAGAGCAAAAGTGTAATGACCATGAGCTTCCTTGCCGATAATGAAGCATCTTCAAGTCTGAGAGGTCAGGATAGCCCATGAAGCTTGGATCCTCCACTGGGACCCAAACCTGGCTGTATCTTCTCAGCTACTGTCTCAGTACACACCATGGAGAAGCTAAGGATATACGCTCTGCAAAAGCCTTTGGGGAAAACCATCAATTTCTCCCAAATTTTGAAAGCATGAATAACCTTGGCTCCCTGGAACTGACAGTTTTAGTCAGGCACAGCAATAGTACTGTGCAGTAGGTTATAAGCTTTCTACAAACTAGGATGACCACCCGTCTTATTTTAATAGGTGTGTGAACAAAGATTTTATTTTACACTAGGATTCTCCCACAAATTCTTTGAAGATATTCAAATATCCTTTCATGCAAATGGCATACTTGAACTTGTGTCGCACCAGTAAGTGGACACTGTCAAGTGATGGTGTCCAGACAGACAGGCAGACACACACACTTTAGTGGATGGCGGAGAAAATTTAAGTATTTGAAAGTCGCAGGGAGGGTGGAACTGGGTGACTCACTGGCTAGCACTAGGGAAGTAGTGCCTCGCTGATATTATGTACCTGGGGACGGAGCTCAAACTCTTCTTTACATATTGGGCACGGCTGCGTGGAGTCCCCTTGCAGGAGGGATCTCTGCTTCACTTTCTCCCATTCATCAGATGACAGTGGCAATGGGGGAGGTGCCAAGAGGCCTAGTTTCTGGGCTATGGGAGAGACAAGAAACAATGTAAGCTCAGGTATTTTATCATATGAAGTCACTTTTAAGGAGACAATCTGCATGCAGATATTCTATAGAGGCTTAATTATGGCTTAATTTTTCATAACAACTGTAAGGTGCTTTTCTATGAAAGGATGAAGGCAGTGATGACACCTGAGGTCCTCAGTAATGATTTATGTTTTTATTATACAGACTTTGTCATCATTCTGAATACTAAGAGATTTTCAAGCAAGCAGGATTGACATTTAATTGTTACATAAGTTGAAGAATGTCATTTTTTTTGCCACTTTCCTTCTTGTTTCTCACCTAATTTGTCAGCTTGCAGCACTGTCTTCTTCCACTTGCCTTGCTCCCCTACCAATGACCCTTACAACGTGTACATCAATCACGTGATTCACAAGGATACATTCCTTAATTAAGTTTATGAGTACCCATCACATGAGCTTATATCACATAGGGAGACTTACTTTAAAAGAGTGTCTGCAACATTTCTGGGCATAGGGCTGCTAGAACTGTAAGTGTAAACCACTATCTGCAAACTGCTAACCAGAGAGAAAAATACATCAAAACAAGTCAATCTAGCACAAGATCTTCAATGATACACAATAAATGTTACAGGAATGGGAAGCTATAACAGGGATCATCAGAAAGCACTCTTGGTTATAGAAACATCCATGGTAGAAGTATGAATGTATTCATAAAAGGCTAGAAGATAAAGGTAAATCTCACAGGTAATATTTTTTTTTAGGTAAATAAACTTTTGTCCCTATCTTCCCAGAAAAAGTAACAGAACAGATGCCCAACCCATGGGATGCAATAATTTGGGACATAGAGAAAATAAAAAAAGACAACAAGGAAGCATAGGACTAAGAGCTGAGTAGCTACAAGAGCACTTATGCCAACATAGGACGTAAACAGTCATTCTCAGTGATGTGTATATCTGCATGCAGTTTCCGGGAAACAAAGTTTGTAAGCAGATGTTTTACTTAAGATGCTAGGAAAATAAAACACAACAAAGTGAAACAAACAAAAAAGAGATAACAAGGATAACAGTAAAAATTCCAAGAAAACAGGAGCCAAAATGAAAATAGAACCAAGAGTAGGTATGAATCCAAAATGTATTCTTCTCAAGAGACATTTCTAATGATATTGGTTTAGAAAAATAAAATGAAAAAATACAGAATAAGAAAAGGAAGTAATCATAAATGCATGTCCAAAGACAAGGGGATGGCTCAGGCAGTAAATTGCTACTCACATAAGTGTAGTGGGGTCTATTACCAGCATCCATGTAAAAGACTGGTGTGGTAGCACCTATTATCCTAGCGCTGGCAAGGCGAAGACAGGAGATCCTTAGAGCTTACTGGCCAGCCAGTCTGGGTGCACTGGTAAATTCTAGTGTAGTGACAGACCCTGTCTCAAAAAGCAAGGTAGAGAGTGACTGAAGAAGATGCTAATACCAGCCTCTGGCCTCCACATGCATGTGACTACCCATGTGAAGACATACACAAATGAGCAAAAATTAATGTTAAGAACACTGTATTCCAAACTCATCTCATAATACAGGTGAGCTTAACTCACTTCACTAGATTTACTTCTGATAAAACATAGCAACACTAAAACCATCAGGAGAAGAAACAAAAAGCTGAGCCGAGCCCAGAGCCATCAGAGTCAGGCCCTCTCCTGTTTTGGTTTAGTGCCTACCACACTGGGCAATGAGTTCAGCCTTTGTTTATTCTTAGACTAATGATGGGCCTATGACTTACTGTAGGTGAGGTGACTCCTACTGTCAAAGGCCAGACTCTGCATTACAGAAGCCTGTATCTGCAATAAGCACACCGACCCCCGGCCCAGAGCATCAGAGCTGAGAATAGGCTTTCTTGGCGAACACCAGTGACAAGGCTTTTCTCAAGGTGCTTATCACTCTTGCCTATCTGTTCTTGTCACTCTTGGCTGTCTATTCTGCACTTGTAAACAAATGTGGAAACTTTCTGCTCCTCACCCCAGCAGCTAAAGGAACAAGAGGAGTGCAAACCACGTAACTGTCCAATGAACTGTCTGTTCTATGCTGTGCAGGCCTCCTACTACCGCCTGTCTCTGTCACCTACACTACAACTCAACAGCCCTAAAGCCTATTCTCCATGCCTGATAACTTAGAAAATCTCTCATTTCTAGCTTTCTAGTATACAATGATTTCACACTTACAAAGATTTTAAGAATGGTATAAAGATGTAAACCAGGGAATAAATGCTGAGCATGAATTATTGACTGCAGTCACAATCCTTTATCTATGGTTATATTTTCTGAGGTTTCAATGATTCACAATCAACTACCATCTGAAAATATCCAATGGGAAATTCCAAAAATAATTCATAAGTCTTTTGTTTGTTTGTGTTTTTTTTTTTTTTTTTTTTTTTTTTTTTTTTTTTTTGGTCAATGTAAGCAGGCCAATGAAATCGCACACTATCCTGTGCTCCATTCCTGTCTAGTGTATTCAGGCTGTTTATGTGATGTGCCCTTTGTCCCTCTGTAGTTGTCTTGGTGACCTGCTAGACTGTGGCAGTACTACAGCCTTAGAGTTTGTTGTCACTCCAGAGCAGCACATCAGAGCTGCTCGTCACTCGGATGTGCCCAAGAGAGGAAGTAAAAGGGCTTTCTTCAATTGAGAAAGGATTGATTTCACAGAAAACAACTGCATGCTGAGTTTGGCAAGGTAAGACCAAATCTTCTATCTGCCAAACTATAAATATTAAAAAACAGATTTACAAGAATTTAACAATTAGACTTCTACAATAGTCATGTAGGGCTGTTGTGCGAGTAGCCGCAGGAAGACTGAGTTTAACACAGCTTAAACCAGTGAGACTTTCTCTCAAAGAAAAAAAAGTTATACTTACAGAGCATAGCAGGAATCCACAAATAACTGAGTGTTTTACTAGAAAGCACCAAGCCTGTGAAAATTTTGGCAAGGAGTTCCTTGAAATGAGGAATGTCAAGACAGTTGAAGTGAGGGATCAGTACACAGATTCAAGGAAAAGTTTGAGCTGACGAGTATACGTATCACTGCTGGGGCTATGCACAAATGGAAACACTGCTGCCTCAACTGGAGGTGGGGAAGCTTATTAAGGAAGAGGGACACCAACCAAAGTGAGTCTTCATTTTATTTTAACCAGGGTCTTCTAGAAGATGCCAGGTGAAAAGTACATTCACATGACACAAAGGCGCAGACACATGCCTGTAATCCAAACACTCAGGAGGTTGAGGCAGGGAGATTGAGAGTAGAAGGACATCTTGGGCTATACAAGGAAACTCCCAAAGCCAACAAAAATATGCAAAGGAAGGCAGCAGGGCTTACTATACAAAACACAATCCAACTCTGGCATTATGTGGAGTGCGACAGTGCACATGATAAAGCCAGTTTACACTCACAAAAGCAAGTCACCTGCCCCTGTTGCTGCAACTTAATCAAAGAGTATTTCTGGTAGCCATCTTGTTTATGGGACAGTTCCACCAATACTTCATCTCAGAAGTGAAAAAAACAAAAACAAAAAACAAAAACCTTGGCAGATGAAGAGTTGGCATTAAAGCCTTATTAACAACACACTTGGCTGCCAGTACCTGCCAACAAAATGAAAATGTCAAGGTTGTATTTTTACACTATTGCTTTAGCACTGTAAAGAGGGTATCATTCAGCTTGATAACACTGAGTTAATTAGCACTAAGCTAAAGGATCAGAGGCCAGGTTAACTTACCTAAACTTAATGATGGTGGTGTGGGGTCTAGAACATATTCCCTTTCTGGATCTTCCACTTTGGGGCTCTCTGTAGTTTTTCTAAGCCCAGTATCTATTATGGCCTTTGCATTTCTTTTCAGAGATTTTGACTTGTTCTCATTCTTTTGCACTTTTGTCTTCCAAGGATCTGCTACTGAGAGATGTCCAAGTTGAAGATCATGTAAAATGTGGTCCTGTAAGGCAACTGCAGTGACTGCTAAGTTACCTTTTTTAGATGAATGATCCTAAAAAGGGGGTGGGGAGAATCTTATTTACCAGACGGTATCATTTAGAAGAAAACTGAGGCTTGGTGCTCCACTGATGTTAGATTTCCAAATCAATGGGAAGGAATACCAGAGCAATACCTAAGTCAGAGACCCCGGCCTAATACCTATGTTAGAAATACAGGGAAGTCTTTTCACTTAATTATTGGAGCCTTAACCATAAACCAATAAATTCACACCTTTGTGCGTGTAAATGAGCCTCTGCTGTTTGGCTACAAGCAAATCGGACTCCAGGCAAACTCTAAAAGGAAGCTTGCTCTTAAGCACAAGCTCCTTGGTGAAAACTTATACCATCCCCTGCAGACCCAGGTTCTTGAGCCAGGAGAGGCCTGCAGGCAGCACGTAGAGATTTACTCTCTGTTATCCATACCACACACACCTCTCACTCCCAGCTTCTCATGGACACAAGGTTTGTAAACTATTTTTATACCTGAAAAAGGTCCAGTTAGACTACATCCCATGAGTGAAACCATGGATGGGATTTGAGGAGGATGGAATACCTTATTTTTCAACATGCTCTATCAGGAAACACAGTGGTGTGGCTTCAGCAAACTCTAGCACCACATTACAAAAACTTCTCTTCTTCTTCTGTGGACAGAAAGCGAGAGTAAACATGCAGGTTTACTAGGGCTATGAAGATATGACAACAGGAATGCCAGCTACAGGGTAGCCTGAGCTATACCTTCCATCCATACAGCTTACCACAGTGCTGAAAAGAATGTGAATATACAGAAAAGTCTAGCAGTGAAAACAGTCTTAGGACAGTCTTGGACCAAAATCAGACACTAAGTAAATGAACAACCCTTAAAAACATTTAAACCAATTCTTGAAGAAAGAAATGCCTATGTTAGATAACAGGAACAAGAGTAAAGATGCCCAGGAAACTAGCATGGTCTGTTTGTTTTTCAGGGAGGAAGGGAACAATGAAAAAGTGGGTGTAAGCAGCCTGGGGGGCTACCTTTAGACAGAACATGGGGGCGAGATACACTGAGTCTCAATTGCTTTCTACATTTTGGGGCAAGCTACTTAAACATCTCCAGCTCATATATAAAACACACAAAAATTATGACATTGCAGCATTATTACACAAAAGAAGAAAACATCCAGAGAGCTTGCAAGGAACTGTTCTGCACAAGAGACCCATAAATGGTTACTGTTGCTCCAAGTCCCATAAAAGCTAGGGGAAGTATTTGGTATTGACCCTTTTAGTTTTAGGACCACGCGTTATTTTTATCAAGGCAAGAGTCTACACTATTCTACAGTGGAAACACAGCACCTCATAAAAATCAACCCAGGAATAGTATTGAGGGACTAACTTTCAGAGAAGTACTGCCAGAGCAGCTGTCACACACATGCAGAGCAACGAAACGATTTAAAAGATTTGGAAACTAACGTGTGAGACACCCGATTTAGGAATAAAAAAAGACCAGTTCAGATCCTGCAGAAGCCTAAGGCAGTTTTCAGTGTGCCCACCTCCTCGCTCCTTCTCAGTCCTGGCATGAAGACCTATGGAAGAAGTTTGTACTCCATGTTCCTTACCATGGCACAGACCAGGGAAAGGTATGTAAAATACTGAAAGATCACTACCATTATTTTCCAAGTTCAAAATGCTGATAACCTAACAAAGATCAAGTATACATCATACCAAAATTTGTTTAATTTTTCAACAAGATTCATACCATCGCTAACCACAGGCAGCTATTTAGGCTGCAAGTTCGTCTGGTCTTTATTGTACTATTGTTACTAATATCATGCTAAGAGCGTTTAAAAAATGCCTCATCAAAGTTCCACGGTATCAGCAAATTGTATAATTTAAAAATACAGAAGCGTGCCAGCTCCAGTCCAACTGTATGAGAAAGAGGTGACCCGTTTGTCTGGCGACAGAAGAGAGGTGAACAACCTCTGCCGTCACTAACAGCCACAACAGAAAACTTCCCATCTGTAAATCTCAGCTTGCACAGGGTTAGGAGGTTGTGCCGGGTGGGAAAACACAGCACGTCGTGAGAAGGCTTTTTAGTTGCCAACTGCTCTCAGTGGTCAATACACACATCAATAAAAATGCACACGAAACACGATGGCTACTCTCGCAAAGCCGAGTAGTTTCGCCGTTGGACGGCCAGCCCAAGAGGTCACTCATCACATCAAACGCCGTGGGCAGCGCAGGCAGGACCCGCGGGCCGCCCACAGCGACCCCGACTTCCCGCCCCAACACTACCCAGCGTTTGGGCCTCGCTGCCTCCCTCAGCACCAAAGCTTCTGTACGCCTCGGCCGGCACAGCCTGACAAACGCACACCGGCCCTTCCCACCTCCCGACTCCACGGGCTCAGACTTGCTCCTCGTTGCCACAGCAACCAGCCGGCTCCGCGCTTCGAGGGCGCATGCGCACCGGCTCCGCCCGGCCTTCAGTGCGCATGCTCATCGGTTTCCCCGGGTCCAACAGACCCGGTCTTTGCCTCACCGGCAGCGAGCGGCTTGATATACCGACGCTTTGCGTCACGGCTCCGCCCCTCGCGTGTCGTCAGCGTCCGGACGCTGGTGGCGTCACGTGGTCGCGAGGCACGCGCGGCCGCCGTGTGCAGCGAAGCGAGCGCGGCTCCTCCCACCTCTTCCCGGGCTGTTTCGTGCTTGCCGGCTGCGCTCCGGTACAGCTGCGCCGTGCGCCCCGAGGGTGCGCTGACCCGTGCGGCTTTTCGTAGAGGGTTATCAGTCGCCCTCCGTAGGGAGGATGGTTGGCGGTCTCTCGATTGTTTCGCGAGCGCTGTGGCGTCGCCACCCGGCTTCCTAGTGTTCCTCTCACGATGGCTGCGTTGTCCAGCCTTGGCTCCCGGTAATCGCCCCAATAATCCCGGCCTGTTGGGTGTAGCCGGATGCTGGCCTTTTCACGTTCGCCCGCTTTAGTGGCTTCCTCCTAGGGTCTTATGGCTGTTCTGGAGGCTAAGGTGAGAGGGTGGAGAGAGCTATCCTGCGGTTACTGACATTCCGGGATCCCAGTCCACAGCACTCGGTGCCATCTCCTCTTACCCCTTTAAATCTGCACCCCGACGCTTTCCTCTGAACCAGACTTGAACCCCTGGGGTCCTTTAAAGGTTTTTCACTTCTTGGTGGCAAGCAGAAATCTGTATGGATTTTTCTCCTGCCTCGAATGACAGTGACTTTGTTGTGCATTAATTGGAATACCGTTCACTTGAAAGTGCAGAGAAAACACAAGAATGCAAGCAAGGTCCTCCACTAAGTAAAGTCTACGGAAGTCACTGAGCCGGAAAATTGCTCTCTGTCACCAAAGCCCCAAAAGTTGAACTAAATCTGGTATACACGATAAATCTCTGAAACAATATAACTTTAAACTACTTGAAAGTTAGAGGTTTTTTTTTTCCTTGGCAATGAACTTTCTGAATTGGCTCTTAGTATTTGAAGTTTGTAGAAGCAGACTAAAAGCAGCTCAACTGTTTTAAAAGTCAAATTCACAGTGAGTTAGTTTGAAATTGTGAATTTTCATATGGTGGTGGTTCAGGTGTTTTCAAGAAATAGTATAATCTTAGCTTATGTTTCAGTGAGTGATGGATTTAGAAGAGCAAAAAGCCCAACTTCCCAGTCTTTGTTGAAGCCTAAAAGAGAGTGAAGCTTTTGGATACAGGTAGCTATGCCAGAGTTTAAACTTACACTTACTTTCAAGATGTCTGGTTTTGGCAAGTTGCTTTATTATCCTAAACTATGGGTCTCCTTGTTTACAAAGAGGGCCTTGCTTCATCCTGTCATTGGACAGCTGTCAATTACCCCCAACAGTAGCCCTGGACATTATTCTGTGAGTGAACATGTCGATCAAAACTAGCTGGAAACACTGGTACCTCAGCGTTGCTGACATCATCAGCGGGGTCACCTGGCCTAGCTAGCTGGGCCAGTTATAGGAACTCAAGTGGGTTTTTTTGGGGGAGGACTTGGAAAATTCCTTTAATTCTTCCTACTGAATGTGGGAACAAGAAAAGACACGAAACTGCAGCTGCATCTGTTCCATTAGCATCATGGGGTAAGAGCCTGAAGGTGTGGGGCAACCAGGTGAACCTTAGAAGGAGGATTATACAGGAAATGGCAGAATTGGGATTTGGACACAGTCCAAGATGGGTGATGTAGTTTGAGCCCCGGAGCTAGCCTGTCTCTTGGTCTTTTCACCTGCTTCATCTCTGGTCTGGTTTTCTGTTACTTGGAGCAGGAAGAACTTCAATGAAAATGGGGTTCTTTTTACCACCTTAGGGCTGTGATGAAGTTAAAACTTGATATTGTTTGAATTGCTTTGGACAGTGCCTACTAATAATCATTCTGTCTTGAGGTATTCCTCTCCAACTTTATAAAGTTCTAAAAAAAAAAAAAATCCCATTTTAAAATTCCCCACCTTCTTCAAATGATTAATTCATCATCTTTTGCTATCCAGAATAGTTGGCCATTCTTTATTTAATCATAAAGATTTTTCTTTAGTCTTTTCCCTTAAAAATTTAACCTTTAATTACTACTTTGCTATAGGTTTTCTCCTCTGTTCCCCTTTGTAGGGGTCCCTTGCGTTGGCCAGTGTGATTCAGGCCTCAGGACCTAGGACGTAGCTCCTTCTCTGGACAGGTTTTGAAAGTCAGGTCTTCTGGTGGCAGCTTCTTTAACTTTTAATTTGTTAAGAAAACAAAACACTGTTTTTAGACAGGGTCTCACTATGTATCTCTGGGTGGCCTGTAACTGGTCCTGTAGCCTAGGCTGGCCTAATATGGACAGCAGTCCTCCTGTCTCCTTCCTGAGTGCAAGGAATTAAGGTGTCTGCTATCATGCCCAATATTTTACATCAATTTTAAAGAGAAATTCCTTGAGGTAAATCCACAGAGAACAACACTGATCCTCATAGAGTGAATAGCTCAGTGGTGTTTGATGTGTCCACAGTGTTGTATAACCACCTTTCCTTAGTTCCGAAACATTCCTGGACTGTGCAGGCAGACAGATGCCACACCCCTGCAACAGTGCCTTCCCCAGCCCAGCCCCTAGCAGCCGCCAATTTGTATTTTGTGTCCATAGACTTAGCTTTACCTATACAACAGGCAACCTTTGGTGTCTGCCTTCTTTTATGTGGCATTTCTGAGGTTCCTCATGCACCAGTGCATTTTTCCTTGGACTGAATGCTGCTATACATTTATATCACATTTGATTATATGATTGTTTGTTGACAGATGGGCACTGCTTTTGTGTATGTGAAATGACTAGTCAGTATATACGACTACCAGACTGCTTTTCACAGCAGCTGCTCCACATTTTGTTCTCACAAGCAAGGTCTGAGGCTTCAGTGCTTCCACATTGTTCCTAACACTTGTTGTTTTCTACTTTTGTCTTGACATTGAAACGGGCTTTCAGTATTACCCTCGGCTTACATTGAACTCATGATCTTTCTGCCTCAGCCTCCTGTGTGGAGGAATTCAGATGTGAGCTACTATCCTGTCTTCCCCTTTAAAAATCCTGTTAGTTAGGAGATTGTATTATGTTTTTTGGATCTTCCTAGTTACTGGTGATATGGTGGGTCTTCATGTACTAGCCCTTTAGTGGGAAGTGTCCTACTGACAGATCTTTGACCCACAGATTCTGGTTGGGCATGCTTCTTCTGATGGGCCATCCAAGGTAATTCTCATTTCTGCTATAGTGTTTTCAACTTATATTACACTTTGATTCTGTCTTGTTTCCTTCTCTATGCTCATATTTCTCATCTGCCCTTGCATACATGTTTCACCAGAGCAGGGCAGGTTACTTTATAAAGAAAAAAAAAGATTGTTCAGCTTGATGTTCAACTTTTATAGACATGATGCTAGCTTGACTCTGGAGAGAGCATCATACTGGATGCTGTGCAATGGTTTCTGAGGCATGAGGAGTTTCTGAGGGATGAGGAGTCTGTGTGGCTGGATCAGAAGCCTTAGTGCATCAGAGCCTATTTCAGGATTTTTATAACAAAATAACTAACTAGGCTTTTTTACTTTGACCATAATTCTAACTTGACCTTCACTCTTCCCAAGAAGATGCTCCAGTGTCCTGAGTACCTCCCACTATGTCATCGCTGCCACAATGAAGACCAAGCCTTAACATAACCACCGAAGAACAGACAACATCCTAACCATAATAGTCATTATCTCATTACTCACAGTATAAATACCCTCTTTGTTAACTTCAGACTCTATTGCTGCCTTCTGGCTTCAGAAAGTGCATTTCTTGCCTCTCTGAATGCATTGTCTTTTCCTGTTGAAAACTGGACATGTGCATTGAGTGATATGACTGAGAGCCAGTAGGTTAGTAGTATGAGATCTGAGGCTTTTTAGGTTAGGGTTGTTAACTGTTGGAGCAGGAAGGAAAGCAAGGCTTTCAGTATCCTCTATTCTTGTTTTAGCTCCCCACACTCACTCCACACAGTGTCTTTGAGTTTTCTTTGGGACTTTAAATGAATTCTGTGGTCTCTGGTGCCTCAGCTGTAGTTCAGAGATAGACATGCTTTCTCTGTTTGATCCTATTGGGAAGTAGGGTAGGATGCACAGAAGCACACCATACTAACTGTATCATGGTGTGTGACACTATTCCTGGGGAGACATGATCATATATCTATTCACCTCAGATAGGGAACTGACACCAGACCAAAGAAAGTATACTACTAAAGTCCAATTTCGGTGAACTGATGAGTTTTATTGGGATTTCTTACAGGAGTATGTGTAAGAGTTACAGGAGCAGTAATGACTCAGACAGCTGCATCACCAAAAGCCCACTCTAGGATGGTTGACAGCTATTGGGAAGCTCACTGCGCTTCCTGCAGGCAGTTCAACAGGTTTCAGGCAGCCTGTTTCAGGCAGCCCAGGTGGTCTGAGCCTCTTTTAGACTGCTCAGCTTGTCTGAGAGTTGTAGGTAACTTGGCTGGTTTCTTTTCCTTTAAGGTGGCTTGGCTATTCTCTCTTTAGTCCTTACTGCATTTGGTCAATTTTAGGGATTTACTAAAGCATTTGAGTTGTGTACTCCCTTAGCTTAGCCAACTTCAATTTAGGATGGAATCTTTGACCTCCTTTTAGAATATCCTGTTTCTTTAGAAGACTGTGCCACCACCTCTCTGTACTGCCAACCAGGGGCATCAAGAAGCAAGACTTACTTGTCTGATGAGTCACTCTATAGGTTGGTGGTAATGGTCAGGCTAAGGAGGAGGTTGTATTGGTCTCAGCTGGGATGAAAGACAATTTTCTAAAAACAAACAAAAATAAACTAAAAGTAGGTAATATTCAGATGGCACCAGTGGGCTGTTGGATCACATGGCTGGCCATGTCTGGGGATGGTGAGACAATCTAGCTACAGCCCATAAGGCTTTTGTGCTTGTACTGTTCATGTGCATAGACAGGAGACATATGGCAAGAGAGCCAGGTTTAGAGTCCCACCACGTGCTTGCTAGTGAGTCTGCATTTTGCCTCTCCCCTATTTCT